CCCCCCCCATCCCCATCCCCTCCCCGCCTCCTACCCAACCCTTGTGCGAGGGGTGCGGCGCCGCTGCAGGCTGCACTTTTTGTCCCTTTTTGCACGTGCATACGGCGGTCGCTTCGGGGGGTGGCAGTCGTGCCACTGGTGCCACCAGTGCCAGTGGTGACAGTGAGACTTTTATTAGGGAAGGAATCAGCAAGCATGATTATGTACCTTAGAGCGTCTCCACCTCCATTTCTCATACCCTTCGACTCTTCTACTTCTCCACCTCCGCTTCCCCCACGGCATTGCATTGTCAACCCCACATATGCAGGCAATGGCGTAGCGCTCTGAGATATTGCCGCGAAAGACAATGAAGAATCGTTTTGCGAATTTCATTCCCTTTTCCTTCGTTCCTCGCAATTTTCTCTTTAAAAGAAATCCATCCGTTTCGGTCTTACCGTCTTACGTCACGGATGCGCCTGACGTCATGGCGCAACTGACCGTAAATTGCATTGAGTTAAATTTGCTAGTAAAATTCTACATTAAAAAGAAATAAATCGTATAAAATAATTATGTAATATCACTTACGAAGAACGTTGTCGTGTAGATGCGAAAGGTCCTGTCTCCTGAAACGAGATAACATATGATTAATTCGAGGTATTATTCATTGATTAATTTATAATTAATATACATTAAAATTAATATAATTAATTTACATAGCGATAAATAATGCAAAATCACTTATCGACTATTCTCGACCTGCCTCAATGCGTGACCTTGTTCGCGGATATTCGAAAGCCGGTAAACGAACGACCGGAAAAAAAAAAAAAAAACAGTAAAATTTCAAGGGTCAAAAAAAAGGAGATACACCATTGACAGTGTGGCCATATGGAAAAAAAAGATGCTTAAAAAAATATGTAAAGGCAGACCTCGCCAATGCGCAGCCCAAGGCGATATCGCGTTCTGACAATAAGAGAGAGCAGAGAGAGAGGATTCCCGTGGCGTCCCGACGCTATACACACGTACGTAACACATCTTCCCAATAACCACACGGCGACGTCGTATCAAGAGGAATAGGAAACACGCGTGGCTCGGTCGTATCGGCACGAGCCTCCGCAGTTACGCATATCCAAAAGTTATCCCTCTGAAATGAGTGGAGGAAAAGTTCGCTTACATGGAAACGTATCGATCGATCGTCCGATCGATCGGTTATCCCCCAACGAAGACGAGCAACGAGAATAGACGGTGCCGAAGGGATGAAGGTTGCGGCAAAACTCGGAACAACGATAGGACGTCGTCATCTTTCCGCTTTTGTCGTGCGCGACTGTGTGCTGTCGCGCGATTACTGCCTTAACGGGGATGTACGGCGGTTAGGTTAGGTTAGGGGAGAAGGAACGAAGGAGACTTCGGTAGGCATGCCGTAACGATAGGGAGAGCAAGAGAGACAGACTTATACCTATCGGACGACTCACCTACCTATATACGCTACATGCACTGTTGTCCTAGACAGTTTCGCCCGGCAAGGACTTAACAAATAGGTAAAGTTTCGGCTGGAGGCGACTAAAGGCGGATTCGCATGGCGCAGCTACGGCATCCTCCTCTTTGTCTCAAGTTTTTGATGTATTAGCTATTCTATCCTAGTCTGCTTAGGTTTACGCGCCGGTTGACCGCACTCGCGTTCCTCCCCAAGATGCACCCCTTCACCCTCTGACCCCCTTCGCCGCCCTCATCTTTGCCCCGAATCCATTTACAGTCGTTATCGCAGTCGGATTATACTAACGTGCATTCTCCTTGCACTTGCTGTAACTGCAGGTCGTGCTAATGAAATCACGAGAATCTCAAAGGACACTAAAATTCAGAAGTCATCGAGAGGCGCGAGTGTTTCCTTACCTAACGCGTTATAAAGCGCACAACGTAGTGAACGATGGTGGGACGAAGGGAGGGAGAAGGGAGGATTATATCGCGGATGAGGATAAAAAATGATTAATGCACTTTTCCCACAGTATCTTACCCGGCTGGAAAGCTGGAAAAATCAATACCCGATAGCTATCCCAGAGGCCCGCTTAGCCTGCTTCCTCGCTCATGGCTTCGCGCTATCTCACTTTTATCTCGACAGTATCTCGCGCATTTCTGTCTGTCTGTCTGTAGGTCTGTACGCTGTCCCTTACGCGCTCGCTCACTCGTTCCTACTGTGCGCTCTCTCTTTTAGTCCTCACGTTAATACAGACGTAGAGTAGGAGCGAGGCATTGGGAAATTGAGAAAGTGAGAGAGAAAGAGAGAGAGAGAGAGAGAAGGAGAGAGAGTGAATAAAGTAAAACGCTATACACTCGCTATACACTATATAACGTAGACTGTGTGGACTCTAGCATTCATATATAATATATACCACAGTCAGCGATTGACAGATGGCCGACCAGTAAACAAAGAAGACTGGACGAGTGATTCGTGCTCTTGCGTAACCCACTAAAGTTCAAACACAAGTCGATTGCCCTCGTCTTCCTTAATCGAACCCTTAGAACCCTTCGATGTCAACCATCCGGTTCAGTGACGATGATTAAAAAATTCGTGTTGGTCGACTGGGCTCTCTCGAGGAAACGTTTATGGGACAAATAAAAGTAACGTACGTATAATCGACTATTTTTTGCATAATAATTCAATTAACGTAATTTAAATTTTAAGGGATGACGAAGAATTGTGATCGGTCTGTGTTATAGGTACAGTAGGTATCCTTTCGTCTTGTCGAATCCATGCTCGATTAACGTGCACACGTGTGCCTAGTAAGGATAGGGGCGTGTTAGGTGGGTTGGGAGAGGGATGGTGAGGGGGGTTAGTCGTATACAATAGCCACGTGGCTGAATCTAATCATCGCGTGCTCCTCAGGGTGAACTTGTACTTTTTATATTTTCCTTTCAAGCAAAGCAACCCTCTGGAAATTCATTAAAATTATCCTCGACCGTAAATAAGAAGTGTTTGCCGATCGAATGGGCTGCTCTTATTTTTTTAAAAAACCCTGACCAATCGTAACATTGATGTTAGCGGTTACCGAAAGGGGGACGATAAAAAAAATCGAGTTTCACGTGATTGTACCGTTACGTCACGATTGCTCAATTATATTCTCATTAACGTAGCCGTTCGTGTAATTGCACGACATTACTTGACACTCGGATATAATGCTCGTACGAATTTCATCCAACAGTTATACGTATTTAGAGCCAGTTACTGATGTCATTATCGAAGTAATTCTGATAACAAGATTTCTGCACTGAAAATCCTGTGTCTAAAGTTGCCATTCGATAGCTCGTTAAACATTCGATTAAGCCCGTATCGGACGTGGGCGTTGTGTCTGGAGCTGTAACAGTATCCCGACACGTGGCCTCCTCTTGTCAGTGACGACATGTCGCGAGACGCCCCTCTTCAATAATCTGAGACACCAATCACTTGGAATTTTTACAATATAAAAAAATGTATATCGAAGGCGATATGTAAAATTATAGAAACGATATAAAGTTGAGTCAATTTATACTGGAACTTGAATAAAGTACGATAGTACGATAAGAAATATAATATTTAAATGAATATAAGATAGTAGATAATAATTGATAGCGATGAATAATAAAAATTATCTAAAGTCGAATAAAGTTGTGCAGGAACTTGAATCAAGTGTAGCAACCATATAGAGTGTATTATGTAAATTAATGGATAGCAGGAATGGAGGGTTGAACGTCCAAGAGGCTTTTCATTGAGGTAATCGATGTCCTGTTATCAGTTAAGCTGTTCTGACGTCAGTAACGGAACCCCAGGTAGTTATCTCGACTTGAAGGACTTTCAGGATCAGAAGGACTCGAAGCAACAAGTGGCTTCTTAGTTCGGACAATCTTAGGCGAATGTTCAACAAGTGTTTTCCAAGTTGCCTGACAGCTCTCAGACCTTCGCTCCAAGGTGTTCCTGTCGGATATTTCTTGTCTCTCTTTCTCTTATTGTCGTCACCGCTCTCCTGTCCTATTCCGATCCCTTCTCGACCGGAAGTCCTGCAGGACTGTGTCCTTCTTTCACGAAGGGACTCGTAACTCTTAACGAGCTACCGACAGCAGTAAACCCAACCGAGCGCGTTTTACACCCTCGTCATTTTAATTGTACCTTTATATATATATATATCTATAATAATAGTAAGGAATTCAAACACTCCTAAGCTATATGCATCGCTTAAATCAACCGAAGCTATAATAGCTATACAGCTTATTTCGAGAACGTAAGTATATCAAAGGATGTTAAAAATGTATGAAAAAGTTGCAGTGATTTTCTTCTACGTAATTTCGGGTCTTAATGTGTTATATCGATCGGCTTACCTAAGGAGGTAGAACTTTTGGAACAACCTGTAGTCATGACAAAGGAATATCGGGTTGATTCTTGGAGGGCGTAGGAGTAATATTAATGGCGAGCCAGTAGGTTAATTCGAGGCTGAAGGAGAATTAGAAAGTAGGGTGGGGAAAAGAGGGGTGGGAGCGAACCAGAGAGAGAGAGAGAGACGGGGGGGGGGGTTAGG